AGTGCGAGGCTGCCCGGTGCCTCGCCTGATATATATGCGAGGCTGCCCGGTGCCCCGCGTGACAGATCCGCAGCGCTTCAGTTCCTCACGTATCCCTCCTAGCAAACAATGGCCAATGTCGCACAGGCACTACCAGCTTTCACCTTTTTATTATGAAGACACCGTCCCTTTGCATTACGATTCCTGGGTCAAGTGGTACGACGTTTAAGCTTTTTGATATATGTTTTTATTAAATGTCAGCCTATTCGACTTCTTTATTGAATCGTCAGAAATGTAATACATTTCCCCTGACGACTACGCCTCCACATAAAAACAGCAGGGAGGACTGTTTCAGGGAAATGTGCCGTAAGGGGTCTGTCAGTGCCAATGAGGTACACAGACAGCAGCCATGTTTGCCAGTACTCAAACCAGACGTGTATATGGGGCCCCAGTGATTAGGCCCCCTGTTGGCCACATACAGTTACTACACTGAATATTAAATTATCACATTTCTAATTTAGGAGCTAAAAAAGCAGCATATTATGCTAACCAGCCAGCTATGATCTTTTTACTGCAATGACTAGCTGTTTATTGAGTTTTTGAAACATCTCGGGGGACCTGTACTCCCTTTTTTGGTGGGGACCCAGAAATGAGGAACCCATCCATGAGGACAGAGGTGGCGTCGGGCCCTGGTCCTGCCTGGTCGTGTCACTTCCTGTTGACAATCTGAGTGTAATAGGTCGTGTGGGTCCCGGCGATCAGTGCCGTCCTAGAGTTGCACCCGGCCCGTTGCCCTTTCTCCTGTTTGAGAGCAGTCAGGTATTCCATAGCTCCGCAGTGATGGTCTCCTGATCCTCACTTCACACTGCTTCAGCTCTCATTAACCTTTCCTCCATGCCGCCTCTTGTGACACCTCCTCAGTGAGCCTCCCCAGGACTACAGCACCTCCTCCACCTCCGCTTTTCGCTTCTCCTCTTCTATGTCCACACCCAGCTCAACATGCTCTAAGGCTGGACCTGCTGGAGCCCCGCCCACCTGACCCGGACATACTCCCGTCATGCTGGCAACACGCTTCATTAATGTAGTTCTATGTGTCACTATGTGTCAGACAGGGGGCGTCGAGTTAGCCAGCCAATTTCACTGTGTCAGACAGGGGGCGCCGAGTTAGCCAGCCAATTTCACTGTGTCTCAGACAGGGGGCGCCAAGTTAGCCAGTCAATTTCACTATGTGTCAGACAGGGGGCGCCGAGTTAGCCAGCCAATTTCACTATGTGTCAGACAGGGGGCGCCGAGTTAGCCAGCCAATTTCACTATGTGTCAGACAGGGGGCGCCGAGTTAGCCAGCC